GAAGACGTTAGTCCTTTATTCCATCGTCCTCGTCGTGTATTTGTACGCCCAGTTTTGAACGTACTCGACCTTAAGAACTAGGCGGGCAGCCTTCGTAAACAATTCCACGTCACCGGCCGTCCTTCTTGCAACCCTGCATTTCTTTCCACCAGTTCTTTTTTGCTCTGGTGACAACGGCGGGGTGGCCATGGTGACACAGTCGCTTAAGTCAATGCGACGCATTCTTTGACTTTCAGTACATCATCACCTTTCAGATTTTCCTCACAATTCAACACTATGATCACTCAGGTTCCTCAATGCCTACTCTACTAGCTGGATGTACATCTCAAATGCCATAAAAGCACGCAAACGACTAATGTTTAAATTAGTTAATTTAAGCTAAACATTTCGGTTACCGTCAGGGAAGGAAATAACAGTGAACCGAACGGTTAAGCAACATTTCGAACTCGCACATTGGCAAGAGATCAGCTCGAACTCCGGAGATGCCAGTTCAAATGCGGAAAAAATCCTAAACGCTTGATTAGTTTGATCATCGAATTCACTCCATGTATCTTCGGTACCAGCCAGCCAACCGGATCCGCAACGAATGACAAGTCATTGACTTGGGAAAAACAGGCACAGCATAGTGTTGTGGTTTGGTGACGCTAGAGTGAGCGACAGGTACAACGCATGATGACTGACGCAAGCGCTTCTTAGGACTACAATTCGCCTCGACATAGCTAATAGGTAACTATTCAGTGTGATGATCAGCGAAAGGTATAAAACCAGGAATATCGAACTTCACTAACCCCAACGATTTGACATTTCGAAACTAAACAGCCTGTGCAACAGGAGGCCATGATGAATAACCGTAATGCATCACAATCCATAACCTTGACCTTGTCTTATGACCAAGGCGACCCAAGGACTACGCCATAATCATACATCTATCATGTAGTCCTTAGTCCAGAAAAAACACAGACAGCGTACACTAGAACTCGGGAATTTGCAATCAAGCTATCGCCAGCCATCACGTTGCAGATCGCATGACAAGCGACCGTACCATTGTTTTTACAACGAAGCAAACGACTTTTTCGACCATGAAAGGTCATGTTCATACTTCGAGGTGTCATCTTTGACAACATAATAATTAAGCTTCCCCTTGAAAGGTCACTGACCACTCGAGGACGTAACACCTTAAAATGCAACGAATTCTGCGGGATTTTCCTTGCTTCCTACGGTGAGCCACCGAATGTCTAACACGCATATGCAATGAACGATTCAGTGAAAGCCTGATTCTCACCAACGGGGGCAGACGAGCCTCTTTATATACAGTAAAACCGCATCCATGCATATTGTGTGTTGAATACCGGCGTTCCGTGTAACATACTTCAAAAATGGCTACAAAACGGCAGAGTAACGGGGATAAACCACAGCTGAAAAAACGCTCAATTTCATGACGGTGCATTTCTCACATTGCAAAAGCTATGCAAAACATGAAGCATCCATAGTCACTGTGGGAACTTCATGCCCTGCACTGCTGGTCAAATAACCATTGTGACCATGATGAACATAAATTACGACTTTCCACAAGTGCATATATTTCTTTCACTGGCCAAATGTCAGTCTTGAACACATCTTCAGTCAACCAAAGAAATAAATACAGCTGTCAAACGTTGTGATTTATATGCGCCATAATCACCGGATACTTCTTGCCTTGCATTGCTCGTCAATTACCCACAGTGCTTAGGAAGCAAATAAATTACAATGTTTGACAGCTGTACATATTTCTTTAAACGACTAAAGACCTGTTAAAGACAGACATTCGGCCAGTCAAAGAAAAACGTACAACTGCGGAAATTCGTAATTAACGTATTGCATAATCAATCTGGGTACTTCACGAGCAACGCAGGGCATTACGTTGCGCTGCTTATTTACAATAACGAAACCGAATGCCAGTTTACAACAAGCCTCTGGTCATTGGAAGGAAAAATATATTATACAGCCCTGGAAACTCACAATTTACGTTTTTCATTAACACCCCCGGTACTCTACGTTTTGTATTGCTTGAGAAGTACAAAGAAAGGCAAAATCGGCATAAAATTTCTCTCCTCAACCGCTAGTTTCCTTGAACAAGGAATTCGGCCACGTGTACATCGGTGCAACCCGTAAAAATAAGGCAGCACACGTTGAGCTTTGAATAATAGGGACAGCGTGGTGTTTTGGTGCGGTCGTGCCAACTGAACGAAAACATACGGCAGTCTTGTCTAATACGTGTGAAACAATGATTTTAAGAAGAGTATTGCAAATGATTAACCACTGAAATAGAGGGTTCGAAGTAAAGCAGTGTTCATACCACTAATG